GTATGGATCAATACACACTATGTATCGATCAATACACACTGTGTATCGATCAATACACACTATGTATGGATCAATACACACTATGTATCGATCAATACACACTGTGTATCGATCAATACACACTATGTATGGATCAATACACACTATGTATCGATCAATACACACTGTGTATCGATCAATACACACTGTGTATGGATCAATACACACTATGTATCGATCAATACACACTGTGTATGGAACAATATACACTATGTATGGATCAATACACATTGTGTATGGATGGATGTGTCTGGAGTTGCACACTCTTGTCCTGAAGGACTTTTGTTGCTGCTTCAAAACAGAATTCTTTCCTCCAGGAAATAAGTTTTTTCCTTCTCCAGTTCACTTTTCTCTGTCTGGAGTTGGATTTTTGTGCCGTGAAGGATTTTGATTTCTATTGTGTATTGGGTGGTACAGGGTCACAGATCATTTTTTTGAAAAGGAACTGAGGGTAGAATTTATAAAACGACACATTTTATTATGTAGGCCGAAATTGAGCTCCCTCTTCTTGAAAGACCAGCATCCGTCACTGCAGGAGACCACCAAGCCAAYCTGTGGAATCCAGTGATCAGAATCCAATATATGCTAGTTGAACAGAGCAAAACAGAGGTCCCACCTTTGACATGTCCTCCCATGGATGAAAATTTGAGACCAGCTAACCAAATCCATAAAACTAAAAATACCCATAATTTCTGGTTTCRGATGAAAACGTAGAGGAGGCTCCGAGCAGCAAAGCAGTGAAGATAAGGGAGGGAAGGAGAGAAGGAAAAAACATCCTCCTTCTCCAAGAGCAGAAGCAAAAACCAAAAAGCASGTAACACAATGTATGGATGGATAAACATGGGACTTTTTGGTACTTTATGTGGCTGACATGCATCTAAACAAATAAATAAAAACATAGACAAAAATAAATTTGTGGCTGAATTCCCCCCATAAGTTTCTCTGAGGATTAACTGCTGTTGGCTCTCGTTTGTTTTCTTTTCAACATAATTACCTCACTTTAGCTGATCCTTGATTAAAACCTTTARTTTTAGTGATGGCATGAATTATAAGATGAGGAGTCTCTTTTTTCCTTTGGTGTTTGCTTTTCCACATTTTGTTAAAGAGAAAAACAACAAGTACAGTAATAAACTAAAATGTGTGGGGATTAGTTCCACCTGCTACACAGTTTAAGAACTACAGTCTTAGTTCAACATTTGAACCCTTAGTTAAACTTGTGAACTGGAGTATTTGGTAAGCTGTTTGGTATCCTGATAGGGGAGGTGAAGACAGAAAAAGCAGAACCAGTTCCACGCCCACACAGGAACTGGTAAACCAGTGAAAGACCACTGTTTTGTAACACGGCCTCCCAAAACGATTACAAAAAGTTGAAGCGGGACTGCAGCAGACAGAGGAACCTGTCTCGGACCTGAGTTGACAGCCTGACCCAGACTCCAGCACTGTTCAGGGTTTTACAGGTGCCACTCTATCAGTCCGCTTCTATGAGTGGRTTTGAATCTACGTTCTTTAGGATCATTTTGACCATTTTTATTATGGTTCCTCTGATGGATTCAAGTTTTCAGTACCTAAAGTTTAACACTACTCACTGCAAACTATAACTGAAATCTTAATGCATCTCTAACCTTCTGCTATATTGTCAAAATGTGAYGCTGACAATAAGAAGCAGAAACCCTGGTCAACAATATCACTACCAAACCTTAATAGTTCTCTCAGGTATCCAGGTGTGGACTCTATAAAACAAGTTTATTAATGAGCTTGTTTGTCTAGCACTTCCTCAGAAAGTTAAACATTACTGAGAGAGTTAATTTTTTACCTGACAAGGAGTCCTCTGGGTCCGAGGCTGGAGCTTTGAAGCTGTTGGGGCTCACACAGGCCCACCTCAGTAGTTCTGACCAGGTAACCATTCAGCGCCTCCTTCTCTGGATCAGAGAATTAATCTTAATAATGAGACATGGAGCCTCAGTCCCATCGTGCCTTTCCATGTTGGGTCCATATCTGGTTCCATCCTTCCGTCATGGCTCAGGACGATGGAGGAAAACCCTAAAGAATTAGAAGATTGAGGGCAGGAAGGTTCAAACAAAAGAAACTTMATACATAAAACGATGAGCCTGAAAAGCTGCAATCAACAGTAGCTCAGCAGGGACCAGTTCATTTGAACGTAACAACAGAACCTTCACTTATATGTCCTGAACTGAGGACTCAGAAAGCAATAATTTGTTCATGTTTTTCCAACAGCTTCCTTAAGCGAAGCAGAGATAGTCCRTGGGCTGGGTGGCTCACTGGACTGAGGACATTGAGGCAAAAGGAGGACCTTATGCCACATTTTCTGTATATTTATGACTTAAATTAGCATAAAAGATCTCACACAGAATACTAACTTACTACATAAATATTTATTTAAATATATTTATAAAGTCTGGCAGAGGAATCACAAAAATACTGAGTAAAAGATTTGTTCATTTAAATTCTCAAAGGATTAAGGATCAAACTCTGCTRACCTCTAGTGGTTAAATTGTGCAAAACTCTGCATCTTTTTGTAGTATTTCTCCCACAGAAATRCATCATGATTTCTTTAAAATTTTGTCTTTAAAATCTGATTCTAACTTTGTTTTTGTTTCTGTGCTATTTTTAGCTTGCATTTTGCTACCTTTAAAATCTAGCATTTAGCTACATTTAGCTGCCACTCATAAGATTCAAGATTTCATTGATTGTCATTTCCCTGGTTATTTCCATACACAGAATAAAACTAAAAACTGTTGCTTTCCAGCAATTGCCTTAAAATATACATCTCTATTTACAAATATGCACATGCACACACTAAACAAAGACAAATAACACACCATAAGTTACAAAATAATTTAAAAACAATTTTTTTAATCTGTAGCAAGTCGTTTAGCTTGTAGTTAGCCTTTTGATTTTTTTAGGTAAACTTTTTGCTAATATTATATTTTAGACCATGTTTTGCTGCTTACACCTTTGTTTAGCATTTCCTTATTTTAGCTTTTAGCTAGTTCTSTTCAACTTAAAGCTAATATTTAGCATTTTTTTTGCTTTTATATATTGCTAAACATTAACATGCAAGATGAATAATTAGCTTTAAGCTAGTGTAATGCTTTCTAAGCATTTAGCTTTTAAATTTTTGTTCAACTTTCAGTTTCAAGGTTTCAGCCACTTTCACAACTCCACATTTTCGCATATATATATATATATATATATATATATATA